CCCAGGCCTTTTTTCCCCCACCTCCCGCCTCACCGGGGGGAGGGGGGACGGTACCACCATCCCCAGCGTCCCCCAGCGCCCCCTCGGTCCCGCCGCGGCCGGGACTGGCCGGAGCCGCCTCCGGTCCCTCCGCCGCCATTTCGTCGCGCCGCCGCCTCAGGGCGCAAGCGCGGCTCGAGGGACCCGGATGAAGGTACCAGCGAGAAGGCGGAAGCGGCGGGCCAGAGCGGCAAAGGGAAGGGGAGGAAAGAGCGCCCCCCCTCGCTGGGCGGGAGGAGCCATAGAGACGCGCGCACCATAGAGACGCAACCGCCGGCTAGAGCGGCTTCCGGTTTCTCTTCCAGAACCATAGAGACGCTGAGGGGAAAAGGGATGCCAGAGCGGCCTGGAGGCTCTGCGAAAACCATAGAGACTCTAAGGGGGGGGAAGACAGGCCAGAGCGGTCAACTGGCTCTTGACCAATCAGAAGAAAAGAGGCGGGACCATAGAGACGGCGTAGGGAGCCTAGAGAGGCCGTCCGCCATCTTGAGGAAGGGAAGAGCGCCAAGCTTTACTGCAACCTTTATTCCGCCGTATTTACAATTAAGCTATTAAAAATTTATACATTATTTACAAATTAAATAATTCCTCCAACGCCACCCGAAAGGGAAAAGAAACAGTTTTGGGGTGAAAGGGAGGGGTTTGGGGGGTTCAAATGTCCCCAACGTGGGTGTCTGGGTGCCTCCCCCCCTCTTCTCACGGGGGTTTTCACCCCAAAACAAAGGGAATTTTGAGGAATCCACCAAAAAAATAAACAACCAACCACCCCCACCTCTGAATGGGCCACAAAAATTCCTTAATTTGGCTCAAAAGGGTTAAAAAAAAAAGACAATAAATTAGGGTTAAAAAAAAAAAATCAACTCCCCGACGCGGCCCCTCATCATTCTCCCGTCGCCACTTCATTAGCGCCAAATTCCTCCTTAAAATGCTCAATTTTGGGGCAACAAGTGCCCAAAATTTAAAGGGAGGAGACGAAAAATCAGCCTCACGACCGAAAATAATCATTCCCACCCCAAAAAAACCCCCAAATCCCCTGCTGCTGCCTCCTCTCCCCTACCATCCTCTGGCCGCCGGTGCTTTGGGAGCTAAAAATGGCGGGTTTTGACCCAAAAAAAAACCAGCTCTGGTTGGCGCCGCCTCCGCCCGCGGTTTTTAGTTTAATTCCCTGAGATTTTGGGGCTCTTGAAAGCCCTTTTTTTTTTTTTTCAGTTCAAAGAGGCACTGAAGCGTCGCGGTGTCACCGGGGAAGGAAACGAGACCGCTGGGGGTGGAAAATGACCAAAAGAAAGCTCCCCCCCTCAAAAAAAATGCCACCTCCCGGCACCATCGGCCAAGTGATGGTTAATACTGTTAACGAGCTCGTTTGCTAACGAGGAGGGGGGAAGGGTGAAAGCCAGGGGGGTGCCCCCCAAAAATCCCTGCCCCCCCCCAGTGGCGATTGGGAGGGGCTGCTTTGATCCCCCCCCCCATTTCCGCAGCGGGAAACACCCAGAGAAGATTTTGGGTGAAAAACGGGTGATTTTGAGCAATTTCAAGCAGCGCCAGGAGCCGCTCGGTCACCGCCATCAAACAAACGCCCCGTCCTTAATTACGGCGCCGAAAAGGGGGGCTGGGTGACCCCAAAAATGGGCAGAATTACCCCAAAACAGGCCATCGCTGGAGAGGTAGAGAATTGGGGTGAAAAGGGGGAAAAACGGGGCAAAAGGAGTCAAGAAATTCATTTTTTTTGCCATGGTGCCGCGGCAAAGGGGCTGGGAATGTTTTGGCGGCGCTGCCGGGGACCGGTTTTTGCTTCCAGAAGGGTTTTTTTTGGTGGAAAATAAGGGGGAAAAAGGCAGGAAAAAAAAATAATAAATCCATCCGGCTGGTGGTGCCCGAGGGTCCAAAAAACACCCCAAACGGCCCCAAAATGGTGTTGGTGATGTCATTGTGAGTCCGAGGGAGGCGCCGCCAGTTTCTGGAGCCGTCGGCGCCGAAGCTCGGCCGTGTCGGGTTCGTCCAGCGAAGAGGAGCCTTCGGCGCCGCCGTCGTCTTCCTCCTCCTCTTCCTCCTCCTGGGCCAAGCCTTCGGCGCCCCCCGGCGCGGGGGGGTCTGGGCAAAACAGGGGGAAAAAAGCACTAATTTAGCCAAACCGGTAAACCCAGTTTGAAGAGCCAGCAGGACTGGGAGTGGGGGTTTGCCCCCAGTAAAAAATTTGGGGGAATTAATGGGAAATTTGGGGTTTAAAGGTGGTTTTTTGCTCCCCACTCACCGGTGGCCGCGGTGGAGCCGGAGGCCGTGGGGCCACTTGGGGGGCGCAGGGGGGTGGGTTCCTCAGTGGGGGGTCGGGGAGCGGTGGGTCGGGGTGTCCTGTGAGGAGAAAATTAATAAATTCAATTTTTTAGCAATTTCAGTGAGTGTTTTGGGTTTTGCCATAACCAGGATTTTGCCCTGTTGGCTCTAAATCCCCCCCAAACCCCCTCCCCAGTAACCAAAACCAGTTACCCAGTGGTGGCCAGGACCACCAGGTACTGGTCGATCTGGAATATTAATCAATAAATTCCATTTTTAAGCTATTTTTAAGCAATTTAGTGGGTTTGGGGGGCTTTGCTTTAAGTAGGATTTTGCCCCGTTGGCTCTGAACCCCCCCCAAAACCCTCCCCAGTAACCAAAACCAGTTACCCAATGGTGGCCAGGACCATCAGGTACTGGTTGATCTGGAACATTAATCACCAAATCTAATTTTTAAGCAATTTTAAAGCAATTTTTAAGCAATTTTAGTGGGGTTTTGGGGCTTTGCTGTAACCGGTTGGCTCTAAACCCCCCCAAACCCCCTTCCCAGTTACCCAGTGGTGGCCAGGACCATCAGGTACTGGTTG